TTATTGTGAATTTCAATAATATTGAGTAATTGGGTGTGGGTGTGGGTCTTGTTTTCTTTGATAACCATACCCACACCCACACCGATACCCTGGAAACCGAGAAGAAACAGCAAAGACTTAAGTATTGAAGTCTGCTGTTTTTCCCTCGCTGAAAACAGAAGGCGATTAGAGAAGTTCTTTTTGGCTCTTGTCATATCAATATCTCCTATACAAAAGTATTCGGAAATATGAGTCTATGATAACCTTTGTTCTATTCATCAAGATCTATCCAATTTTTCTGATCAGTCATGCTTCAAAAATCATGCAAAGGCAGAATCCTTAAATTGTATTTGTCTCGAAAAAAACCTATTCGACGTTTTTTTTATTCTAAATAATCATTTTTTATCATTTTATTTGTTTACATAATGACTTAGTTATTCACACAAGAATTCATTTACTCTCTAAGTCGTTTTCATAAGTTTTATTCAATATCTTACTATGATATAAATCTTTTAGATACTTGTAATAAATGTGGTTGTATGAGAAAAGAACATATGCATATAACTTATGAAGCTCATAAATTTATTACTAATATTAAAATGAATAATAAGAATAAAATACAATCTCCAATCGATGAAATTGAATAACGTATTAAAGATTTAAAAGTAGAACAAGAAGCTATTATTAAAGTTTGTATTCAATTAACACAATTTCTTCGTGCAAATGTACTTAATCCAGTAAATGATGATATTTTGGAATATACTGAACATTTTATTCGAGAAGAAAAAAACAAAATAGAGTGCTGGAGTTCAAAATAATAGTGTTACTGCTGGTTTAGAAAAATTATTAGTTGATTATAAACATGAAATGGATATTCTTCAACAAGCAATGAAAATAAATTCAACAACAATATCCAATAATTCATCTGATTCTACTGATGTTATTAAACCAGAACAAATATTTCTTCTAGTAGGTTCTCTTTATCGATTACCAATCAATAGTGCTAAAATTCGAGAACAAATCGAAGGATTAAAACGCATACAGTCTAAATTTACTCAAAATAGAGAACATGTTGTTAATTTACCAGTAGAAGCCGATTGTTCATCAGTAATAACAGATTTAAAAAATATTCTTTAATAATAGCATTGTTAGTTCAATTGATCATGCTTATTTGTTATTGTTTCTTAATTGACTTACAAGTTGAACATAAAGAATATCAAAGAATTACTATTTCAATTAATAGTAACATGAAATTTGGTCGATTCAAAAAGAAGTTAACAATGAAAAGAGGGTGTGGGGTGTGTGCAAATAAGGGTGAAGATGACGAAAATTCTATTGCACTTATTCTAAAACATGTTGTCTAATCAAGTCTAGATGACTTTTGGTTTCGTTTTTGATACTGATCTTCTTCTGTGTGTTTATCATAATTAATATCAAGCAAACGGTTAGTCTTCAACGTCGTATATTAAAACGATTCGAACAACAATTGACTTCAATGAGATCCGATTCTCCATAGGTTCACTAAGGTCTTCTTCAAATATTAGCCTTCATCAAATTCAATATGTCATTGGAAGTTGAAGTTCTTTATTCTACTTCTATCATGAATCAAGTGAAAAAGGAATATCATCTCGCTTAAAAAAAAATCTACTCTTTTAAGTCATTCGATTAACTCCCACTTTAACATAATATCTAGTTTTGACATTTACATAATCTATTTTTGAGATGTTTGATTAATATTGATTCAATAATGCGTACATCTATTCTTCATGGATGCGAGCCAAATGTTGTCATCGATTGAAATATCGATACGATACCAAAAACAAGATGTCGATTTTTGAAAAGCATGACGCTCGTGTTTGACCAACAACAATCATGCTCTCCTTTATTTGTTATACATTCATTTTAATTCTGTATCATAGTAATTGACATAAATAAAATCTTTAAATTATTCTCTCAAAACTACCATTTTCATCTGTCTACTTTCATAAATTTGAATCAAATATGACTTGAACAGGATGACAAAGCAAAAATTTTATTGATATTTATTTTAATCTACACACAACAAAGACTTAATTGACATTGATGTAAAGGTAACAACGCACTGTTAGATAACGACCTCTTTCTGCTAATACACTAATATATGAAATGAGATTTTTATCATAAACAGGAATATATTCTACTTTTTCTAAACTTTTCTGATATGTGAACCGAATCGATCTATGTTGTTCATTGAGCTTTTGCACTGCCATTTGACCAGCTTCTGCTTTCGCCTTCTCTCGTTCGTGCGTTTCTCTAGTCCATATTTGACTTTTAATCTCTGATTCCTTATGAACCGCACAGCTGTTGATGTAGTTAATGGCTGATCGATACTCTTCCACGGTCATTTTACCTTTTAACCAGCTCGGTTCCAGCAGCGAATCAGGATTAAAATAACCACTAGCACCTGTTAGTCGAATTAGACCACCATTCAACAACTCTGCCATTGGTAGATGAGATACGAACACAGCTACTTCGTTCTCAATGCTTGATGAGGATGTTCCAGAGGCTCCTGTTCCCATTTTAAATGAACCACGTGCAAATCAAAAATGAGTATTGAGTAAGAATAATCAATGATTTTAACTTAACGATTGACTCATTTTGTTGCAATGGGTGTGCACTTTTATAAAACGACGAGTGTAATGTTTGTCTTGTTGTCAATGACGTTCTCTTCTTCTTTCTTGTTTTGTGTTTGGTAAATTATTGTCACAAAGTAATGCGCCATGAGCAACGTGTATTTGATCATTTAAACAATGTCAGATGTTGAGATTACAGTCGGGGACAAAAGTTTAAGTGAAATTAGTTTTTCAGTATTTTTTTTCATATTATGAGATGCGGATCTGATCTAAATGATGACATAGATATTACGAGAGGTCGGCTACATGATATATTATAGAACGAGACTCTGTCTATTTATGTAGATTTTTCATAACTGAAATATTCTTTTTTTCATGCAAAGGTAGATTTAAGTGCCTTCCAGTATTTCGCATTTCCTAACCAAGAGAGTTTTTTTGAAATGGAAAAAAAAATCAATCGATAGAGAATTTCACGTTCTATCAGTTTATAAAAAAAGATTTTTTCCCAGAGTCGGTCTTCACCTCCAACACCTGGTTCTAGTGAGAATAGTCAGCAAAGACCGAGAAGGTAAAATCACCTTTTACAAAATTCTGCAAACTCCCTCTTATCACAATTTTTATACACCATTGGAAAGAGCATGCAAAACTGAACAAAATCTTGTATTTGAAGTTCGAATATCAACATTTTTCTCGCCCATCTTTCTGAAATAAAGTTTTGAGACACGCAACTATCTGGGTGTGGGTGTGGGTGAGTGTGAATGCGGGTGGGATCTTCACATCCATACCCACCCCCAACCCCGCACCTACCCCCATACCCACACCCTCGTGGGTCCAAATTTCTACCCTTAAACACTTCAACACTCCTTTCAGATCGTGTTTCACAAAAATTGATAACAATCGATGCAAATCAGAAAAATTTAGTTAAACATTTTTTTCAATTGCCCTCGGAAAACCAATTAAAATTCATGTTTTTTCACAATTTTTAAGCGATTATAATCGAAATTAATCAAAATGATGCATGAATTCTTGATTTTTTCGGATATTTTTGATTAAAAGCGTATGGTTTCTATCAATTTTTAATGGACGTTCATCTGATTTTTATCCTAGTTTTTATATGGGAAAGGTCATCAACTGTTTAATATGAACCTAAACTTAGAGTCGATTGGTTTCAGATTTGAAAGGACCCGTAGCTTCCTATAGGCGGCTGACACATATTTTATATACATATTTGACTAGTACATAAACTTTTATAGAATTCTAACAGGCTGATCTTATGAAAATACTGATTAACAACTAGTTTTACTCGAAAATCTCACAAAAAATTCTCAAAAAAGCAACAAAAAATATCAAAGCTAGCGTCTGGACATCCAAATGTGTTTGACGCCCTCTCTCCCCTGTCGAGAAATGTCTAGTTTCGGTTGATCTTCCCCTCTTTACCTGACCGTTCTTTGTGGATGGCCCTTGATGATATGATTAATCATATAGATCATTTTTATATATTAAGAAGAAACTTCAATATGAATCTTTTAGTATATATATATACCGTAAATATGCACTTATACGAGTTCTAGTGTTCAATAAATCGAAGAAAACAAAGAATTAAGAATTGTCTGTAGCATAAATGTATTTGTTTATCATGATAAATTTCAACTAAAAACAGGCTACTATCAAGATAAACGAGCAAAATATTCACATGTTTCAATAACAAAAAAAATTCTGTTTTTATGTATATTTTCAATGTTCTCAAGAATTCTATATATCTCTCGACATTTGAGAAAGACTTACTGTAATTTGTAAATGATAAGATAGAATATAAAACTCGAGATCTTCTAATGTATCAAATACTTTGGTAAAGAATATAATACAAACAAAGTAATGTAGGTCAAAAATAAACTACTCTCTATCTTTATATGGAAGGTGTTCCTTTTTGTCAATTTATTTATCTGTAAATCCATATGATGTATGATAAGAGTATATCCTATAGATAAAATATTCTAATTTTAATTTAATTATGAAGTACATGAAACTACCTAATGTTACTTTTAGACGACGTTTTACATGAGGAATGAAAGAACTTGTATAGAGGTCATGCAGGTACTATTAATATATTAGATAAATATTTCATATGCAATGAAATAAAACAAAGTGCTGTTTTGCATATTATATATTCTGTTGTGTAACATAACATCTTTTCCTTTTTTCCACCTTATTCAATAAACAGTAATAATTTGCCATCACTTAAATTTCTTTAAATTCTTTCATCATTGATTTTTACTAAATTAACATAAAAAACTAATAATTTTGTGTTTCTTCATAAATCGAATGATAATGATCAGAGATTTTATATCTCCTTTTTAAGATTAATTTATATGAATAAATGAATTGAAATAATTGATTTATTTTGAGAGATCGTTAAATAGAGAAAAAAAACAGTTTTATATGGGACTTGTGGAACGGTTTTCTGTATTGTTCATATTTTTTAGATGAGAATTGACTTAATTGTTTATTGATAATAATCTTTGTCTATCTTAGATTTGACAAAAAAGAAAAAGATGAACAATGGATCGTATGAAAAAACTAAGCGATTGTCTCAATATAACATATTAACCAAGGGTATGGGTGTGGGTCTGTTTTGTGCACATACCTACATCCGATCCTTGACAGTGCTCGAAATGCGACAATTTTAGAAAGCACTACGATGATTCTTAATACGATTCTATACAACAGTGACTAAAATGTATTGTTTTACATCTGTACAAAAAGATCAATCTCATCCAACGTTATTTTTCGATCACTTTGTCTGGACGAATCAGACTAGACTTATATTGAAGGCTCGTAAAGATATATTGATATTACCTGGATGTGAATTTCGTTTAAAAAAATACTTCAGAATTGGAGGACTCGGAGCATCATTAGTGTTATTAATGATTTCATCAAAATTTTGACTATCGAATTTCATTTATTCAGCATATAAGCCTATTTCAATCTTCTGATCCTTAGAGCTATCGCATGCGACTTTTATATCAAGCAAGTATTCAGCCTTTCACTCAATCGATTTCATAAAATAACAACGAAATGATATTGCTTTTGTTTCTGGTTGTCACTCTTCTTTTTAAACCAATAACAGGTTACACAAGCACAAATTGAATAGTTCTACTACTATGTAGAATGATGAATTTTCTTTCGTTAAAGGCGATTCATGCGAATCATACACACATCCGACATATGGCAAGACTGGTCAATGCATCAAAACGTCAGACTGTTCCAATGCACTCTATATATCGAACTTATGTGAAAGCAAGCCGATTGACATCAAATGTTGTTTCTCGGGCGCGTTAACTGGTAAAACTACCACTAAAGTACTAAATGCTCAATGTCTCATATATTGTTATCTATTGGAATAGCTTGTCCCAATATAATTAGTCGTGCTGAATGGGGAGCTCGACCGGCTACCGTTAATGTAAAATTAGCAACGCCCGTTCCTATTGTCGTCATTCATCACACCACGGCCGCTAACTGTACAACTAAGGTAGAATGTATGGCTCGAATGAAGCGAATTCAAAATTATCATATGGATTCACAAAGTGAGTGAGTTATGTATGGAACGAGTTGACTTTTATATGTCGCCTCTTCTAGAATGGGGTGACATTGGATACAATTTTCTGGTGGGTGAAGACGGTAATGTATACGAAGGCCGAGGATGGAACCAAGTCGGTGCCCAAACCTTAAATTACAACTCGAAATCAATCGGTATCAATAGCCTGCATTTCTCTCATTTTTTTAACGTCATAGTACATTCTAGGCATTTCGGTCGTTGGTGATTATACTTATCGTTTACCAAACGATGCAGCTTTGAACGCCGTCAAACAGTTGATCAAATGTGGTGTTTCAAGAGGCTATATAAAAAGCGATTATCTTCTTCGAGGACATAAGTATTAATCTCTTTTTTTATTCATAAACACATATACACTTAATGTTTTGCCATTGATATTTGCAGAGATCTCAATAACACTGCTTGTCCAGGAAAAGTGTTCTATGAAGAAATCAAGAAATGGCCAAACTATCGATCGACAACTCGTCGCAGTGATTTAGGTCCTTCGCATTCTGTACCTGAAGATTATCTTGTCATGAAAGACGTGTAAAACAGCAGCGTGCTTCATATGATACATCCTTTTCTCTTTAAAATATAGAACATGAGAAAAGTGCAGGCGATAAAAATGTCACATTCGAACAATGTAAAGGAATAAGAAAGGAAACTATTTAAATATCATCGACGAGTGACATCTTGAAAGAAGGACGAGTGATTCAATCGTCAATAAGTGCTTTCTACCTAACATCTACAACATATTTAATATTTCGATTTCAGACGGAATTCAACTATTGCAATGATAGACGGAAGAATAATTTTCCTTTTTTCAATTCAAAAAACAGTTGTTGGCAAAAAGCTTGAACTCATAGATGTCACTACTGCTCTCACAGGTTCCATTTGTTTCAGATGATTCTAATATGCTTTGAGGACCCTCAAAGGACACAATTTACTGATATATTTTGATACATCTTCTATTTACCATTTGAAGAAAAATGATCAAAATAATTGTAAAAATTGTACATGGAAAAAATATTACACTATAGGGTTACAGGCTAGAGAAAAAGTTTGATTGTCCAAGAGTGAGGGTGAGGATGAGACAAACTACCACAATACACTGTTAAATTTGATTATTGTAGATGGCGATGATCAGGTGGCAAAGTATTAGTATAGAAGATTAATTTCAGTGGAAGAAATTAAATCAAATACGTAGAACTGAATAAAAAAAATTATTGGTTTTTGAAGAATCGATTTTGTGAATTCTAATATGGCGAGAATTTGAATATCTTGAATAGGTTTTTGAGTTACAAATTCATGAAGATAACGGCGTAATATTTTAAGCATTTATTCATGCCCAAATAAGCAAAAAGTAAAGGAAGACGGCCAACATGACTAGTCATCTTTTGGAGAAATGTTCTTCAAACATGTCTGAACTAGTCCAAAATGTCTTGAAATCCAATCATGTCTAGTCTGTTGACTCCATCCAGACTAGTCGCAAGACTAAAAAAAGAAGGTGAAAGATGGATTTGAACGTTCAACCCGATAGTATTCGAAACCTGATGGCAGACGGGAACACTGAGATAGACTGACATCAGTTGATACAGTCTAAATCACAGATTAACTCCTGTTCATTCACTAGACAACCAGGAACCAGTCGATATCAAACGACTTTGACTAGTCTGAAGTGTCTTTAATAGTAGTTATGACTAATCCGAAATGTCGTCTACAAGCGGAGTGTGTGTGGATGTGGCTGGGAAGTGAGTGCGGGTCTGTGTGACTAAAAGAAGAACATCATCCACACCCACACCTACACTCCATCTAAGCAAAAAAGGAAGTGATAATAGAGACAGCTTCCGTAACTCTGCTTTTGTTTTTGTTTGTTAAACTAAGAGGAAAAAAAGTTGCTCGTATACGAAGAAGTCACTTGTTAAGAGATTGTCAAACTTTTATCAGGGCCTAATACTAGCTTCAAGAGCAGCAGGAAGCGATCTTTTGTTCTTATATGTGTTTTTTTCATCTCATATTCTATGATATGATCAACTCTTCTGATTCTCATTCTATATCAAAACGATATAACAAGCCTAATTAATTAATATATTACGAAAGAAAAATAGTCTTGTATAGTAGCGATCACTTCATTATTGACTTGGACGCAGTCAAAATCTGTATTCGTAGGACTATGCAGATTGATACAGAACCAGTGATCTGGAATGTAATGCTATATGCACCAATCAGATTTTGTTTTTCTTAATATTTGATGAGATAAGCTGACTAAGAGATTGAATCATATTCTTCCTGTTTGTTTGCGTCTTTTTTTAGACATAGAAATTTTCTTATGTATCAACATAAAACTTCCAAAACAATGCTATCTTCTGTTGGCACGCAAACTGATAAGAATATAAGGAAGAAAATAGTGACCAAACAGGAACAAGAAAAAAAAATCATCATACTGTATATGATTGAATACAGTTGTTATCAAATTTAGCTATTCCATTAGTTATTGTTGCATTTGCTAGAATGATGAATTATTCTCAAATGAATCAAACACTAATACAATATAAAACAGATACTCGTCTAAATGATAGACAAATTCTCGATGACTAACGAAAAGAAGATATTTTAATTAGCTATCAAAGCTTTTTAGTTGATCTTCTCCATAATGATGGTAAACAATTCGAAAAAAATGCTACATCTCCATTTATTGTACGTCTTAAAACATTAGTACCACTTCGTCACTTAGATTCTGTACGTAAAGCATTGAGTTGAGGGTGAGGGTGATGATCTCTTTCTCACCCTCATCCTATACATACTCGAGAATAATCGCGATCAATCAATGATTATTCGAACATTACTGATGAATGAGAACTAATCGTCGATGTTTCAACATCAAACATTCATATTAGAACCATTCGTGATGAAGGATTAGGGTATGAGGGTAAGAAAGAGATCATCATCCTCACCTTCATTACTCTTTGAATATATATCTATCTCTTCATATGTATATGATAAAAAAGAAAGAAACTATAGAAATTTCTGTAATTACTAAAACTTTTGATGTAATTACCGAAATTACTAAAATTCTTATGTAATTACCGAAATTACTAAAATTCTCATGTAATTACCGAAATTACTAAAAACCCTGCTATTTTTTGTGGGTAGGGATCATTGAATATATATATATCTGTATACATAGGGTGTCCAGTAAGTCATGAAAGAGATACACTAAAAATTGAATATCTCCATTATGGCTCGACCAAACGAGTTGATTTTCTTACCAAAGATAGAGGCATGTTCACACTCCAAATCCGTATGGGCGAGATTAGTGAAAATCAATGGTGAGCATATTGTTTTCTTTTTCTATCTGTGAACAAGTAAAATTTTCTTGTTGAGGTCAATAGCGGTATTTAACAAAGGTTCATTGACCTTATATCCGTATGTATTCGAAGTGTGAATCTGCCTCTGTCCTTAGTAAAAATGAGCCTGTTTGGTCGAGCTATAATGGAGATATTCACTTTTTAGTATGTCTCTTTCATGACTTACTGGACACCCTATATATATCCTTGGAAAGCAAAAACTGCAGTCTGTATTTTGACTATATCGCCACTACAAAAAACATCATATTCTGAAAGCGCGTGGAATTCTCTATCATCCCGTATATTTTCATCTTATCTTATGTCTATATACTGAATAATAAATAGGCTACTATTTAAATATCCTCGTTGATCAATTCTAGATTGAACGGAAAAAATCAAAAACAAAGCAGTAGAGAAAAAATGTTAATTTTTTTCAAAACTGTCTGTTGAGGTGACTTCGTTGTTTTTAAATTATTTTGATAATAGATAATGATAGAGAACTCCATGCACTTTCAGAATATGTTATTATTCGTTTAAACATATGCTTTTATAGCGGCGATATACTCAAAATACTGACTGCAGCTTTTGTAGTCCCGGGGTATATATGATAAAAATAAAGAAATTGTAGAAATTTCGGTAATTAATTAAACTTTCATGCATGGGATATAAGTAAAAAAATTACAGGAGTTTTCTAAGAATTACCGAAATTTCTTGGAAATTTCCGGAGAGAGTTCTTCTCATATATTGAAGTAGTTTGAAATGTTGTGAAATTTTCGTTATCGTATATTTTTGAGTTCTGTAATTTCTCGGAAACTATTTATTGTGAATTAATTGATTTGAGAAATTTGCTGATAATTTCCTTCGCATGTACTTGTATTGTACATAATTATTGAGAAATATCCTTCTATAGAATTGGTATTTGCCAACATCATCTGATAATTTCGTTCCATAGTATGAGTAATTACCGAAATTTCTTTTCTGGCGTGAAGATAATTTGTGAAATTTCCACGAAGTTAGAGAATTTCTTTCTTATGTAATGGTAATGACGGAAATATCGACGAAATTTCTCTGGATGCGCATGTTTGTTTTGAAATACTATAAGAGAAATTTTCAAATTTTCGGCAATGTCCTTTCTCGAAAATCTGAACAGACCTCAGTTTGTGGGGTATATTCAATGAACAATAGACGTAAATTATTTAAATTTATTTATTTTAGATTTTGTTTCAGAATTATTTCAATGAGCAGTAAGTATAATTTACCTCATTTTATTTGTGTTAGATATTATTTAATGATAGAAGTAACTATAAAATGCAGGAAAATTAATTTTATGCGAATACAGAGGTCGTGTTCGCCGACTTATGTAGATTCAACTTGAAAGAACCGTTCGCTAGAACTGAAACGGTGTCTTCGGCTATAGATGGAAATGACCGTATACGGTGAGCATAAGTAATCACTCAGATATGGCTCAATTAAAAATGTTTGCGCCTTCAAGACTGGAAGAAAGTACGAGCACATAACTTTCAACAGCATAGGAGGATTTAGGAGAGTGGAGAGGGTAGAGATATAAGAAATTGATAAAAAAATTTATTGCTTCCCCTGAAAAATCTACTTTGTGCCGCTCAAGCAATGAAGTACCAATTTTTTGCCATGTAAGCTCCACAAGACAAAAACATGCACCGGCTGCTTACTGGTGTAACGTAATGGTTTTTGCAAGAGAAGAAATTTCACAAAACTAAACTTCTTTTGGGTTCTATAAATTCCTCTTATTTTTCTCTAAATCATTCGCTGATAGAGGACATCTATTTTGAATTCGTCTGTCACTGTTCTTCATCCTGTGATGTCTTGATGGTTTCAGTTTTTTAGATTATTTTAACTACTTTGGTTCGTTGATTTTCTTGGATTCTCCGCATACGTCGAATTCCCCCTTCCTTTCCAAAAAAAAATCAAGGAAAAAATACTTTCGTAAAAAAAAACAGTTATTATTAAAATCCATTTAAGAAATACGAAATGACATATTAACAAAAAAGAACTCCTTCAATAAGTTTGATCTTCAAAAGCAGATAACAATCATATTTCTTTTTCATCCTAAGAAAACAGCATCTGTTGGAATTGAAACGTAGTGAGAAGGACAGTAAACGATAGATATAACGGATGGTCCAGAGATAATGAGGCACTTTTGTTTTGTCTTCTTGAGGGTTTTACAATATTTCGAAAAAAACCACTCCAGGACAAAAAAACGATGGAGAATTTTCTGCTTTACAAGAATATAAGTCAGTTGACAAACAAAATATTATATATTAATATGCAAAAAAAATGAAATAAAAAAAGGCACAAAAATTGATATTGCATCTTAGAGTAAGTGAAATGAATTGAGATTTTTGTTTTTGAAATCCATCAATATAAAAATTATTATTATCAGAAAATAGGATTTCATTGGTATTCCTTTTTTTGTAGCGTTTTCTTTTCATGTATCCACAAAATAATAATCTGTTTTATTTTCTATTTGAATGTGAGTTTCGATGCGGTTTTCAAACAACAGTCTATCATCTAATATTATATTTCAATATGTCTTGCTTGGAATTAAAGCTTGTTTAGTCAGTCAAAGAATCAATTATTTGTTTTTCTTATCATGTCAGACACGTTATTTAACCATCTCAATCAACGTTTTTTGTACGAATTCAACTTTTTTCGACCTAGGAATTCGCATTGAGCAATACAGTTCGTCTTGTGAAACATTTTTAATTCACAAATCAAGAGTTACTGTTGACGCACAAGTCTTCAGATTTAATGATCACAATCAGTTTACTATATGAAGGAGCACTACTGCTATTTGTGCCTCTTTCGTTTCGTTGTTTTTCTATAGTAAGATACAATGATTTTTTGGTCAACAAACTTCTATTGTTGTAGAACAGAAATTTCTCGATCTTTTTTGTCTTGGAATGATTTTTCTAGAAATATTGTAAGGTTTTCAAAAAGACAAAACAAAACTGCCACATTATGTCTTGACCACCCGTCATGTTTATATTCCTTCACTCTATTTCTTCATCGACTGATCCAATTGTCCACTGCTTTCGGGTTTGCTGTGGTCCTGTTAACAGATTTTTTCTAAAGTCACCACCTGTGTCATATATCATTGTGCAATTGCCTGGCATTTTTATTTAGATACTCAAGAACTTGCGGCACCTGGCGCCTTCAAGCAACCCCGTTGTGAAGGACATCCTTGTGAAAAATGTCACAAGTGTCGTGATTGGCATTTTGCTGGCGATCAGGGCACTTGGAATTGGGTATGCAGTTGGCAGAATTGGCAAGAGACGGATTGGCATCGTTGGTACAAAGATCGTGGCAAGATTTTCACCAAGCCGAAGGGTGCAACATGTGTTTTCCGCCTTGGTGGTGCTCGTCATTCTCATTCTCGTTATGCTGTGTCTCGTCGTACTTCTTCTTTTCATCATCTGTGCCTATGTGAACGCCATTAATATCAAGAAACTGTTCCTACGTTGCACAGTTGAAAACTAATAAAACAAGGTCAATACTATACACAAGGTGCAAAAGTTGGCTTTCGACGCGGCCGAAGATAGTCAACGCGAGCTGGTAACAAAATCACTATGATAGATATTACCGGTTTACGGTATGATTATTTTTTTTTTAATTAATAAATTATGTAAAAAATCCGTTAGTTGTTGTTGTAAAACCTAGTGGCGGAGCCAAAAGTTAGGGAGCTCAGTTCCTTCTACGGATCTTTGAGCTTCCTGGCGAGATTTTTGAACGATGTGTTTTTTTCTGATACAAAAATTCATCAGTCTTTGCAATGAAACTATCTTGGGGTGAGAGTGTAAGAGTAAGAGAAGTTATCACGACAAACACATGAATGTTTCGATTTATCAGAATCTTATCAATATATTGTGATGATTGTTTTAATTACTAATGCGGATATCATTGTTTTTTGGTGTTGGTTTGCACGTTTAATGGCTTTTCATCAGTAGCGCTCGTCGTTTATATGTTTAATATGTTTAGAAGGAAAGAAAACAAATTGTTACAGAAATGGTGTATCTTTCACTAGGTTTTTTTATATGTCAAAAACATCATGTTATGGTTGTCAACATTTGCTGATTCATCTTCACTTCACCTGAATATTGATTGTACCTTGTTTATCTTGGAAGTTAGAAGAAGACCCACTGCTGATAGTCAACAAAGTGTGCCATTCTCTATTTTCGTATTGAGTTTTTTCCACGTAAACGAAAGCAGCTGTTCAAGTATCTCTTATACACGGACATCGATTTTCCGCGAAATTGTAATCCTTGTCAAAGAAGACGAAGCAGATCCACGATATTCATTCAAACACGATTGTAGTGGTCGACGCAATTGATCTGACACTTCGCACATGAAACGTTCATGAGCACGCTCGACATCTTG